CTGAGCCTTTAAGATTTCTTTCTTGAAGAGCGCCCAGCCATCCTCTTCCCTTCAGGACTGCCTCCCAAGGGACTCTGCCAACCAGTGTCCTGAATAGCTCAAAGTCTGCGCTCCGGAAGTCTAAGACAGCAGTTTTACTGGTGCCCTTCCTGGCTTCTCCAAGAATGGAGAACTACCATTTCATGGTCACTCTGCCCAAGACAGCTCCCGACCACCACATCTCCCACCAGTCCTTCTCTGTTTGTGAAGAGAAGGTCTAGCGAGGCACTTCCCCTGGTAGGCTCACTAACCAGCTGCATCAGGAAGCTATCTTCCACGCTCTCCAGAAACCGCCTAGACTGCTTCCTCTGAGCTGTATTGCATGCCCAGGATATGTCTGGGAAGTTGAAGTGCCCCATGAGGACAAGAGCCGATGACTGTCCCAAACTCCATGAGCCCCAGCAAACTGGCCACTAGGGCAGCCTGGCTCCTGAGCTGTTTCTGTACTGTGGAATAGATGTTTTCATGTTCTAAATTCATTATATTAACACCACCCTGTTTGTCCGCACATCACATCAGTAGTTTGAAGAAAGCACTCTGTCTATCTGAAAAGATACAGGTACTTTGGGGTCACAGGGAGTTGTGCAGCTCCTGAGGGTATCCCCATCTCAGAAATATTGCCAGAGATGCAGGTTCACAGAAATGGTGACAGTATTTTCAGTGTTTCTATAAGTATGAAAGTTATTTCAAGTTCATAGCAGAGTGAACGATAGTATTGTCATTCTTCCAAATGTTAGTATTTGTTATTCAGAATAGCTTTTGCCTTAATTGCTTTTGGGCTTGGTTTATCCAGCTGGTGCAGTGGAAATTTTCACCTTGGTTGGACTATTTCATACACTGTGAAAGAAACCCAGTTGGTGGAAACTCAGAAGCAGGAACTCTGCTTCCCCTGTATACCCAGTGGGAGCTCTGGAGGAAGGCTGGGGTGACCCACAGGAATCCACACAGGATGAGCACTTCAGAAATATCTTTCTCTTAAATAGAAAAATGTTATAGGACAAGGTCTTTGGTTTCAGTATATGCTTTGTGGGTGTTTTGTAGCACTCCATAGGTACCCAGAGACTGCTGGTTCTGCATGAGCTCTTTGGAAATCCATCTTGGTGGTTCAGCATAGTGGGTTGCTTTCCCAACATTTGAGGAGTAAATTGTTACTGGCCCTATGTGAAACAACCCCATTTCATAATGTTACTTATTTTTTTTTTTCTTTCAAATGCAAGAAAGTGCTTTTTATTTACTCTGAATTTTCAAGCAGTTTTTATTATTTAATGACTAAAAGCCATTTAAAATGCTTTTTCTAGTGCATTTTTTGTGAAACTCTGTGTTCTTTCAAAATCAAATGCATTTTATAGACATGTGGGATGCCTGTGGGAATGTAAAATAACAATCTGACAGAATAAACACTAAGTCGAATAACTTAAGTAAAAGAGAGATGGTGTGGTATACTGATTAGCAGAAAGGAATGTCTTTCAACACCTAAGGCTGTATTTGGCTGCAGATCAACATATGTTGATAGCTTTCAGCTGAATGAGAATTAACTGGATTTTAGGAAAATTATTTTGAAAAGGCAGAACAGGAGTCACTTGGACTGTATATCACATCTTTGCAGGATTTGTAGCTATGACTTGAAGATGATCAGGAGCTATTCTGACCTTGCTTTGGGCTGGGTGCCTCGAGCAGAGGCTGCTTGCTGAAGCTGACACTGCCAGGGTCTTTTGTGTGAGGTTTTCCAGCAGAAGAGGAATCAGATTGGTGGAGCCTGAGGGTCTGCCATAAATGCTGACCTGCGTCTTGCTTAGAATAGCTGCAAAGCAAATGCAAGTGTATCTAAAGATGTCTCCAGTGCTGTGCCCAGGAGGCAGGGGTAGGGGTGTGTTGGTCAGGGCTGCTCAGGACACCTGGTAGGATCATCTGGATGCATGTGTGCACCATGCATGTTTGGCCTGTTGGAGTGACAGTGCAGGGAGTGCAGGGACATGCTGTATTGACACTGTCCTGCCCATGTACAGGCTTTGAAGCATACTCCAGCTGGGCAGAGCTCAGGTACAGCCCTTTGTTTCAGCTGTCCATGGGATGTAACTCACTGTGAGCTTAGGCCATTCTGGTGGCTTGCCAACAGTTCTTTGTTTTACCAAGAGTTCCTTCATCCTATCAGTCACTCTCAGTGTTCTCTCTCCTTACATTCTTTCTGGATATCTTGTTTTCCTGTCCCTTTTCTGTCTCCTCTTCTCCTTTCTCCCTCCACCATTTTTCTATATCTCCTGTTGCTCCTGCTTCTGGAGTCTGGCTGCATGAGCAGTCTATTGGGTGTGAGGCTGGGGCAACACAATCCAGTGGCTTCCCACCTTGCACCATTGGCTTCCCACCTTGCATCTTCCCACCTGGTTACCATTGGCTGGCCCCAGCTTGTAGATGTCTGTCGCCTGCAGGTGGAATGCTGACTGTTCAGGCTGTGCGGTATATGTAGCCAGTCCCATCAATCACAGAATCATAGAATCATAGAATCATAGAATATCCCGAGTTGGAAGGGACCCAGAAGGATCATAGAGTCCAACTCCTTGCACCACGCAGGCCTACCCAAAAATTCAGACCATGTTGCTAAGTGCACAATCCAAACACTTCTTAAACTCCAGCATGCTGTTACTTCTGCTGCATGGATGAAGAAGGTCATGAACGGTTCTTGCCTGACACAGCATCAAATTTAGCTTCCCTTGAGACTCATGCATGAGAAACTCAGTTTTCTGAGTTTCTCAGTTTTCAGGAATGTTGGGGAAAAGGCTTGTTGATGAAGTGTAAGTGTTTGGATGTTGGATGCATGTGGTGCTCTGTCCTGGCTTTCCTGGAATATCTTCATTGCTGTTTGCTGTTCTCTTGTTAGTGGGCATCTCTATCATATGGCACTTCCAGCACAGGTGGGTTCTCGGTGGTTGAAGGGGGATGAGCTCCCACTCAGGGGCAGCACCAGCTTTGTGGGTGGGTGATGCTTGTCAGGGGTCAGTATGTTTGACTGGCTGTGGTTGGGATCTGGTTGCCTTTCCTTGGAAATGGAAAGTAGACTAATATAATGAGGGTGATCTGTGTGCAGGGGCTGACAGCTCTCCTGTGACATCAGCCCCAGGTGGGCAGGAAGCTCTGCAGGCAGCAGATGTGCAGCCATCCCCCTGTGTCTCCATGGGACCAGCATTCAGGGTGAGCAGTTTATGTGCGAAGCTGGGCTTATCTCAAGTACTGTGGAGTATTCACCTCGAGTACTCTGGTCTGTTTTGAGTCCCTCATTACAAGAAGGACGTTGAGGTGCTCAAGCGAGTCCAGAGAAAGGCTACAAAGCTGGTGAAGGGTCTGGAGAACAAGTCTTATGAGGAGCGGCTGAGGGAGCCAGGGTTGTTCAGCCTGGAGAAGAGGAGGCTCAGGGGCGACCTCAGGGGCGACGCTCTTTATAAGTACCTTAAAGGAGGCTGTAGCGAGGTGGGGGTTGGTCTGTTCTCCCATGTGCCCAGTGATAGGACAAGGGGGAATGGGCTGAAGTTGCACCAGGGGAGGTTTAGGTTGGATATTAGGAAGAACTTCTTTACCAAAAGGGTTGTGAGGCATTGGAATGGGCTGCCCAGGGAAGTGGTGGAGTCACCATCCCTGGAGGTCTTTAAAAGACGTTTAGATGTAGAGCTTAATGATATGGTTTAGTGGAGTTCTTGTTAGTGTTAGGTCAAAGGTTGGACTCGGTGATCTTCGAGGTCTTTTCCAACGTAGATGATTCTGTTAGCTGCACTGCAGTGGCAGGCAGCTTGGTGGTGAGACTCACAACACAGGTCAGGTAAATAGTCCCATTGTTTATGAATGGCTGGAGGGCTGTAAAGAGCTATTTCAGCTTACTTTAAGGCTTATGGAAGACAGAGAGGCAATTGGAGATAGGCAACATAACTTCATAAAGGGCAAATCATGCCTGACTAACTTGATGGCCTTCTATGACAGCATTGTGGGGCAAGAGAAGGGCAACCCATGTCATCTACTGTGACTTGTACAAAGCCTTTGATATAGTCCCAAAGAACATCTTTGTGTCTAAACCGGCAAATGTAAGCGCTCAAGTAAGCGCTGTAAGTGCTCAAGGCCAGACTGGATGGGGCTTTGGGCAACCTGGTCTAGTGGGAGGTGTTCCTGCCCATGGCAGGTGGTTGGAACTGGATGTTCTTTAAGGCCCCTTCCAACCCAAACCATTCTATGATGCAATTTATAAAGGCTCTGTTGTCTTTGAAATTCCTGAAGTGGATGGGTGGACAGAGTTTGGGGGAGGTTTAGGGGGCATGGGGAATGTCTGGGCCCTCCAGTATGGGGAGGGAAAACAGGGCTGTCCTAGAGCATGCTACATGCTAACAGGCTAGCCTGCTCGGCCTGGCCCCAGTGCTCCACGCCAGCCTGACTGGTGGCTGGCCCCTGCCTGTGCCTGGGGAAGTGCAGCAGGCAGGAAAGGCTGGGCAGCAGCACTACCCACTTCCAGCAGGACAGACAAGTTCAGAACCAGGTGGGCGATGTTTTGTCTGTCTGCTGTGCTAGACCTGCTTCTCTACCAGCACATTACCCATTTCTTCTGACAGACAACTAAAATGTTCTCAGATCGGTGCTGCTGTAGGAACAGTCAGGGGCATGGGCTGGGTGGCACTGGGGTTCCAACTCCAGTGCTGCTATCTGTTGGCAAATGTCCCCTGCCAGGTAGCTGCCATGCGATCAGCCCAGGCACCTGTGTTGGCCTCAAGGGGGCTGCTGCCTGCCACAGCCCCCAGTGAACTCTGGTGGCTGAGAAAAAAGCCTAGACTGGGGTGCAGGGTTCAGGGTCAGTCCTAGCCTTGTCATGCACTGTTGCCCACCTTGAATTCTCATACAGTTTGAGAGTGGCTGCCAGGCTGGAAATGGTGTTTGGATGCTGGAAGCAGCCAGGTTCTGAACCCCCTCTGTTGCTCTTCCCTCTGCAGCACTCAACGCTGTCGCGCAAGTTCGTAGAAGTGATGTCTGAGTACAACGCCACACAGACTGACTACCGGGAGCGCTGCAAGGGCAGGATTCAGAGACAGCTGGAGATCAGTGAGTAAATGCAGTGGGGAGTACACCTGGGCGGCCACGGGCTGCATCCTGCACTATCTGTGGCAGAGCCAGAGGTGCCCACACCTGCGCACGCTTCTGTGTCCAAGCCCAAGTGTCCGTGGGCTGTGCATGCACTCAGGAGCGGCTAGGATGTGCTCCTGCTACAGGGCAGACAAGTGACAGTCCCTTGTATTTTTCTGTGTTTCATTGTTAAAAATATAGTCAGTAATGCTGGTGTGCCCACCGGAGCTGAGGAACAAGTGATTCCCACATCTGTGCAGTCCCTACAGCCGACATGGCTAGGCACTTCTGCTGTTTGGGTTTTCATCACATTTGGATTTGTGCTCATGCCCCACTGCAGGATGCTGCTCACTGCACACCTGGCACAGCTCTGAAGCACCCGAGGTTGGCCATGCATGCTGCTGGTGTGGGCACTTAAGACAGCTGGCAGCAAGCCTCATGCACTGCTGGGCTCTGGCAGGAGTACATGTGGGCTGCGGGCAGTGAGGAGAGCCACCATTAGCCCAAAGGTTTTCAGCTTAATCATATCAAACTTATTTAGCTGCCCTGGTTAAGAAAGGCAAATAGCAGTGCCTTACTGGGGAGTTGGCTCCATCCATCTAGCGTCTGCACAAGGTGGGTGTTGTCCTAGATGCTGTCATCCCTCCCAGTGTTGCAGGCAGACTGCAGTGCATGGCATCTCTGCTCCAGGCACTGAGAGCATTGCTTCGCCTGCAGGGCTGGAAAGGTGTGCCTGCATCCTGCAAAGCACAAAAACTGCAAAGGTTTTCTTAAATGCTGCATAGAGACCACAGAGAGAGAAATTTCTCTCTCTCTTGTTTGCAGCTAATTTTGAACTCCAACAGGCTTGTGGGAGGTCCTGACTCCCATGTATATCTGTGGCATCAGTCCCTGCCCAGGTAGTAGCAGTGCTTGACTTTCCTCTGGGCGGTTTTCATTTCAGGTATGCTGAAATATATATAATAACAGACAAATGAGCTCTTGAGATATGGGCATTTTATATTCTCAACATTTTCCCTTATAGCAACCTTGCCCCAGGATGGTGGTAGTTCTCTGCAGTGGTGGTGTCTTCTGGCTGAAGGTGGGCCCCAGGTGACACCTCTGAGGCCATTTAGCCACTGTGGCACTCGGATCTCCTTAAGATTTCACTGTGTAATTCAGAGCCCATCACTGAGAAGTCTATCTTCGTCTGCCCACAAAATCTGCTTTCCTAGTGATTATTCTGGGGAATCAGTGATACATGGTTAGCTTCAGAGAAATGTGGTCATCTCCCAGCAACGAAGAATCTTAACACCACCATAATTAGGGGCATAAGCAGACAAGAGGGAAGTTAGGGCGAGTAGATACTGAAAGACATTTTGCAAATAATTTCATGGGCAGACGTGTGTCATGAGTTTTTGTGATTAAAATGTAAAAGTCTGAAACACAGTCCATTTTTTTCTCACAAACAAATGAGCATTTTTTCGTTTCAAGATTCATCTTGAATAAAAAAGCAGATCTCTGAGTCCTAACGGTTTCCTTGAAGGTCACTTGTGGAAATGTCCCTTGTGAGCTGCAAATGCCTGTGAATCTGGATGCCAGTGGGTAGCTTCTGTGGAAGGATAAAAGGAGACTTGACTGTGCAAATCTTTCCTTTGTTAAGATTATTCTTTATAATGTATAATAATAAGAAGAATATTTCACACCGGCTGAACAGAGGATTGATTGACATGAGGCTCAACAAGAGCTTGACATTTAAAGTAAAGCAGGATGATGAATGTGTGTCACTGCTCCAGCTGACAGTGACTAATTTGTTAGCTAATGTCATTCTGTAGGTGATACCCAGCCACAGGGGTGTCTTACAACATAACAGGAATTTAAAGTATCCCCATTCCTCCCTTTTAAGAGAGGAGAAGATTTGAAAGGATTTAGCCAGGTCCTTAATCATCTGCAGAGAAACCATGAAAGAATCCTGAAAGAAACTTTCCTCTTGTTTGTCAGGTTTTAGAAGGACTCTGCCGCTCTGTTTAAGTTATGCAGTAGTTGTCTGTGCATTGTCTAACTGGGCTGGCCTTTAGAGCTGGCAGAGCATTGACAGGGCATGAGGAAAAGGCTCACAGTGGTGCAGTTGTTGGGTGCAGAGGAGGTGTCCTAGTCAGTGACAGTGAGGAACCTGCCTTCCCTTTTGGGGCCGAGATATAAGGCAGATGCATGTGGAGGATGGGAATCTGTGTTGTGCACAGTCCAGTGCACAATCCTTTGCAAAAGCTTGGTTCCTTTGGCTGGTGACAGCAGAAAATCCCTGTTGGCAAAAAGAAGTGACAAGCTTACTGGGGTTTTGTCAGGAGTGCTGTCTGGACAGAGAGCTGTGCTTTTCCCTTCATGTAACAGCCAGCACTGCTGAACTGAGCTCAGCTGGGAAGTGGTGGCTGCACAAATATCTATGAAATCTGTAGCTCTCGTTTTCCACTGATGGAAGTGCTGGGAGCACTGACAGCAAAGTCAGTAAATCACTGAGGTTCTGTAAGTATGAGAGCAGGGATTTATCAACTGTTCTGTGGAGGCTTTCTGGCAGCTGGTGAGCTTCTCTGTCCTAACTGCTTCTACATCTTGCTCCAGAAATGGGATAGTCACTCCAGCTTCTTTTCCTGGTCTGATGTTTGTGACATACTTGTTCTGTACGTGGCAGCCTTACGCCTCCTCTCCGTGTGGTGCAGAGATGGTAGTGGGCATGCAGAGAAATAGCTCTCTGTTGAAGTGCTGCTGTCTGCAGAGGAATACTTTTCCTTTCTGGTGCTGGAAGTGTCATGGCTGGATGGGACATGGTGATGAGTAAAGTCTGGGGACAGGGTCTGCAGGGACATAATGAGTGGGAAAAGCTCAGTATGTGCTTGTTGCAGAAGAAACGATGATGTAGGAATACTGCCATGGCACTTTCATGGGCAGTGGGTCAGAGGCCCGGGCAATGCTGTTTTTCACAAAGAACAACTAACTGGTGAACCCTTGGGGCTCTTCACAGCCCCCTCAGGACCTCAGGACCTACCTCTTTTCCTTGTGTAGGCAACTTGTGCATGACAGAGGTTATGCCTCTGGTCCTTACTGTCACCTTGCACATACAGTGTGTGCTGAGTCCCTGAGTCTGACTTGGTTAACTGGGTATCCTCTCCTCTCACTGCTTCTGTTCTAGTCCTAGCAGTTGTCCCCTTTTCACCTACCCACTCACTGCTTCCAAGCACACCAAGACAGAGGATGTCACAGAGGCATGCAGTGTCCTCAGGTTGCTGAGTGCTGGACAGATCCTTGGTGGCTGTTCTTGCTCAACCACCTCTTGCTGAGATGTGTCCCCCCTCTGTGGCATCCCCACGGATGCTACTTGGAGCCGTGCTTTCACTAGTGCTTTCTGGAGCTTGAGTGTCATTGCTGCATGCAACAGGAGGTGTTGCTCCTTTGTTTTCTCCTCTCAATTTTGGCCATTATGAGGAATGACATCTTAAGTGATTAGGTTTTGATCCCAGAGAATTTGGATTTGAGGCCTGGAGGAGCTTTCTATGGCACTTGTGTAGCTTTGATGCCATGAAGGTACTGCATAGAGACTGTTTTTTATGAACAAGAAGTTATGTGTGAGACCGAGGATCCAAAAATAAAGAATCTGTTGTCTCCAAAGGCACTGAGAGAACTAATCAGCCCCCACCCCACTATGTGAGACTGGGTTAATTGATGTGCAGAAGTGCAAGCTGTAGATGCTTCATGAACTGCCCATGATCTAGGACAGCCCGGGGCTGGTCCAACGCAGGTAGCTCTTTTGAGTAGCCCTGAGCAGCCTGAAAGGCCATGGTGCTCCCCATGTGTGCTGGTGGGTTGGCAGGGCAGGAGAAGCTGCATGCACAGTGCTACATGGGAGCCTGAACAGATTCACATGGGGTTCCTTGTGGCACTTCCATCTCACAACTTACCACTCATTCATCTACCCTACAAAGGTCCTCTTGGGTCAAAATGCCTACACAGCTCTGGAGGCTGGCACCTGCAGCCCTCCCTGTTGGAGCAGAAGGGGTCACAGGACAGGGATCCAGGCAGCAGTTTGTGACATCCTGCTCAGGCTTTTACATCTGAAGTCTGCTCCCCTCAATACCACTGCTGCCGGTGCTAGACCTGTCTATGCTGGGGGACAGCCAAGTGGGCTGGGTCCCCAGCACTTGCTGCCTCTGCATGCACAGATAGACAGGACAGCATTATCCATCACTGTGGGAGTTGTATAGATTTGTATCTACAGAGAGCTTGGAAGTCTGATTCAGACAGAGGATCCCAGCCTTCAGGGAAGGTGTCTGGTTCTCTCTGTGTCCAGCCTGAGCACTAGTGTCATTCTGTGGGTGCTCATGCAGCCTTGCTGTGGGGAGGAGGGATGCTTTGAGCACAGCTGACTTGTTACAGTTAATGCAGCTGTGGCATATTGGACTTCTGCAGTCCAGAGGCACCTACCTGGCAGTCTTTCCTATTTATACAGTGTGATGTGCAGAACTCTGCAAACTGATGTTTTGCACGGGCTGTGTGACCAGTGCAAGCTGCAGTACCAGCACCTTCCCCATGGAGCTTCCCCAAATCCCTGCACATTCCAGAGGGAGCCGCCCCTGCCCTCTCTCTGGGAAGCTGGTTGATCCCTTCGAGGGCCACAACCCCTGCAGTGGCACTGAGGGGAGTTTGGTGGCAAGTCTCTGTAATGGCTTCATGTCTCTGCCTGTCCCAGAGCTTCATGACCTGTCTTGTGCCATTCTCTCCTTTCCAGCTAAGGGCTGAGTTTGCTTCTCTCTCTGTTTCACAGTCAATAGCAGTGCTCTATGCTGCTTTGTCTGTTGACAACTCTCAGAGGCTTTTCTCAGGAAAGCTTTAATTTCTAAAGATGCCAGGAGAGAGGAAGATGCATTCTGGAGCTCTCTATGGAGGCAGAGGACCCGTTATCATAATTTTCCAGTATTTTGCCAAATTTCAGGGCATAGATTTTCTCCTGGGCTCTTCTGCTTTATAGGCACTTTCCATTGACTCAGCACTTTCATCCCATTTGTGGTTAATTTGCAGTAATTTTGTGGTAATGTGGAAAGACAATGGATCAAACAGGTATCTGACACACATTTATCCGTTTTTGTTGCTGTTGAAGATCTAACAATAGCCTTCCAAACCATGAAACCTAGCCAGAAGGCAGTGGACTTGCAGGACCCCAGAAGACTTCCCTGGAAGTCTTTGGTGAGTGCTGTGCTGCATGGTGTGGACAAGGTGTAGCTTCCAGGCCTCATGCTTTGTCTTAGCATTAAAGCAAACTTTCTGACCAGCTACATCCTTTGGTGAAGCCTGCACTGCCTGGCTCCTTGTTAACCCATATGATGTCTGTGCTCTCATTCTTTGCCTTGAATGCTTCGAGGCCTTTAACTGCTCTGTGCTTTGCAAGAGTGGAATGGGACAGCAAGGAGGCAGTGAGAGACAGGGCAAGGGCACATATCCTGCATTCTGTCCTGTCTCTGCCTGCAAGACATGGCAACCCCTGGAGCTGATACTGCTGCTTGTCTTCAGGGCTTTCTTCAGGACTTGAATGGGACAGTGCAGTGGGTCCTTGAGATGCACCATACTCAGCACACTCCTCTTTGTCACTGTGCCAGTGACCACTCAGTGCTGAGCATAATCAACATGAGGGTTAGTAAATTTGTGCTGTTCCAACCCTTGTTTTGCCTTCCTGGGTCCAGGGCTGCCATGAGCAAGGAGCCAATAGCAACCAGAGAGAAGCCAGCATGACTTTCTGCAAAACAGGCCCTGTTACATGAACCAATTAATCTTTCTAGTGGAGTAAAAGGAATGTATTAATTCAAACACAAGACAAGATCTGACAAAAGTCAGATGTTTTGATTAAGAATTTAGGTCCTTTGGCTCTGGGATTGTGTGTCGGACACAAGCATCTGTGCAGGCTGAAGCTGGGTCATGCTTGGCACCAGCAGGCTCTGGATGATCTTCCACCAAAGCTAGAAAAAAGCTTGCAGAGCTTTTGTCCTTGGAGATGTCTTTTTGGAAGGCTTGATAACATGTCCTAATTTATATGAATCTTCAGAAATCTCTGGCTGCCAGAAATTTTCCAGTTGACAAAACAAAAAAGCTTTTGGACTGTCCTTTGGAGTTATGGAAAGTTTTGTTTGGAGGTAGTTTTGTTTGCAATTACAAAGACTTTTCTCTGATTGATGGCACTTGCACAACATGAAGAACCACCAGCAGCGGAACACGGGACTCAGCTTTGCCCACTGAGAGTCAGGGTGGCAGAAATGGCCTGCAGGGCTGGGAAGGGGGTGTCATGGGTTGCCCTTGGTGATTATAAAACTTGAAGCAGTGACTGGAAGCAGGCTGTGGAGCCCTTTCAGGAGCTTGGGGAGGTAAGGAGGATGTTTCAACCCAAGGGCACATCAGCATTACACAACTCCTTCAGACCTGTGAGCACACAGGTTGCAGAGTTAAGCCCTGATCTGTAGTTACTGAACAGGCTTCACTGAGCTCACGTTTGGTATAAAAAGATGTTGAATGCCTGGAGATCCTCTTGTACTTCACCATTCACAGACCTGGGGATGAGGAGAGGTGGCAGATGCTGGCAGAGCAGTATGCAGAGGTGGTGGAGCCTCTTGCCAAGGCTCCCAGCCCTCCTGCAGGAGGATGGAAGGGGGTCGGAACATGTCAGCAGGAGTGGTGAAGGACTCTAGCAGAATGTGGTTACCATGGGTAATTTCCATTAGAAATTTCCATTTCCATTGGGCTAAAATAGAAAAGATTTTGCTTCTTGGAGTTGCCAGCCATGGTGTGAGTAGAGCTAGGATGAGGACTTGCAAAGCAGCAGCTTCTCGGGGCTTTGGGGGCCACTAGCAGTTCTTAGTCATCAAGACAAGCCTCTCCCAGGACTTCCACCTCTGCCCATGGATCCTGCAACTGTATAAGATCAGGCCTGGGCCACCCAGTTCACATCCAAGATGTGTTGCAGATGTACCTGTCTCCAGCTCTGTCTCCTGGGACTTTGGATCTTTGTCTTAGTCATGTCCCCAGTCTTTCTCTGGCCATGCCTCCTGGATAGACCTTGGCCCCACAGTGTAGCTTTGTCTCCAGTCCTGTCTCCAGTCCCATTTCCTGCTGTTCCTGACAGGACACTTTGGAGCTACCCCAGATCTGATTTCACAGCTTGCCTTGTCTGACACTGCTGCTGGACTCTGTTATCACCACTCATCTTTCATGCTGTGGGATTGCACCCCAGTTGGTGAAGGCCCCATGTGTGCTGGGGTCACTCCAGCTCCTGTCTCAGACCCTGCCCTGGAGCAACCTCACTCTTGCTTCTCTAGCACAGCCCTGGGGAGGTTGCCAAGGCAGGATAGCATACCAGCATTTCAGCATTCCCCAGGTTTCTGAAGCCTTTGGAATGCCTGTGACCACATTGCCCAGAACTTGAAGAAAACATTTAAAACCCACCATTTATGTAAGGGCTGTGGGCTTGTTCTTGCTGTTCATCCAGGGAGATGTGGGGACAAGGAACCATGCCTGCCCAAGCAACTCCAGGAACGGGGAACCACTGGATGAGCTCATGCCAGCTCTGTTAAGGAACAACTTCTGCTGCAGGGTGGTGATCCCTGTTGTCTGGTTCTGGTTGCCTCTCTTTTTGGGGCTGCAGACCAAACATGGAGGAGCAGTCTGCTGCTCCTCACCCTCTACGGTTCTTTGTGCCTTATGGGTGGAGCATTTCTTTGCTTTGTCATATGGTCCCTTTTCTTCCTCTTTATAATCTTTATTATATTTTTTAATGTTGATATCTAACATCTGCTCAGTTTGTGATTTTGTCTCCTTGCAGTATGCAGTCAGATTTGAAGATTTACTCCTGGCTGCACATACAGACTGGGCGATGAGACGCTGGAGAGCAGCCTAGAAGAGAGGGATCTGGGGGTCGTGGTAGACAGCAAGTTCAATATGAGCCAGCAGTGTGCCCTGGCAGCCAGGAGGGCCAACCGTGTCCTGGGGTGCATCAAGCACGGCATCGCTAGCAGGTCGAGGGAGGTGATTGTCCCGCTCTACTCTGCGCTGGTGCGGCCTCACCTTGAGTACTGTGTGCAGTTCTGGGCACCACAGTATAAAAAGGACATGAAACTGTTGGAGAGTGTCCAGAGGAGGGCTACGAAGATGGTGAAAGGCCTGGAGGGGAAGACGTACGAGGAACGGCTGAGGGCACTGGGCCTGTTCAGCCTGGAGAAGAGGAGGCTGAGGGGAGACCTCATCGCAGTCTACAACTTCCTCGTAAGGGGGTGTCGAGAGGCAGGAGACCTTTTCTCCATTAACACCAGCGACAGGACCCGCGGGAACGGGGTTAAGCTGAAGCAGGGGAAGTTTAGGCTTGACATCAGGAGGAAGTTCTTCACAGAGAGGGTGGTTGCACACTGGAACAGGCTCCCCAGGGAAGTGGTCACTGCACCGAGCCTGACTGAATTTAAGAAGAGATTGGACTGTGCGCTTAGTCACATGGTCTGAACTTTTGGGTAGACCTGTGCGGTGTCAAGAGTTGGACTTGATGATCCTTAAGGGTCCCTTCCAACTCAGGATATTCTATGATTCTATGATTCCATTAAGTGATGAGCTGTGGATTATGCTCCCCTTTGAGCCATTTGGCTCAGTTTAGTCCTTCCTTACAGAACTGCTGGGAGGGATGCAGGCTCTATTTTAGGCTCCTTGAGCCCATCAAATGCAATTCGTTTGACCCCAAGTGGTACAGCAATAGACTACTGGGAGGGTCATAGCTGGGAGAATCAGTGTTGCTGAACCAGTGTGCTGCTCACTGAGCTCAGCAGCAGGTTCTCAGTGCATGATTTGGGCTGCAATACTTTGCATCCCTCTGCTCTCTCTGTTTAGTGTGGAGGCCTGGGGAGGTCTGAATGCTCCAGTCCCCCACATAGCAGCACAGCTTGCTGTGACCTGGACTGATGATAGCCCAGGAACTGTCCCATATTCTTGAAAGCTTGGTGTCCAGCCAGGCACAGTGGGGCAAAGCTCAATCCATTTTTCTCTCTTCACCTAAATCATGGGCTGCCTGTCCCAAAAAAGCCCCAGACATGCCAAGAAGAGTGTCCCATTATGGTCTATGCCTTGGTTTCCCACTTCAAGAGCCAGTTGGGCACTGTTGCAGGCTTATTGAGCCATGCCTATTGGTTATTAAAACAAAAATCCTATTAACTTTTTAGATTATTTGTTAGTCACAAATAAAATTCTTTCCTGGCCGTGGGCAATTAACTTTGAAGATAAAGTATTTCATTTCAACAAAACCTGTAAAAGAGAAATTTATTTTTAAAGAATTTCCATTTTTCGCTCCTGGCTATTGTTTTTTGTCTTGTTCTTTTTTATTTTCTATCTATCTGTCTTCTAACTGTATTTTTCAGACATCCAAGTAAATGGCTTCCTTTCTATTTCCACCTGTCCATCTCAATTACATCTAGCTTTTAGAATCTCCATGAGCTTCAACGTGCAGATCGCAGCTCCTGTTCTACCTCCTGCAATGTCTCCTCTGCTGCTTGCTGGTCTGTATGACTTGCTGGAGGTGTTCGCAGAGCACTGAATCCAGCTCTGCCCAGATACTCCTGGGCTGATATGGATTTAGATGTCACCAGGTGCTGGGCCTTGTCATGTCATATGCAGGTTCCGCTCCCCATGCTTGGGGCACTCTCACAGCCCTCCACCTGCTCCTTTGAGGCTTCTGGAAGAGCTGATGAGTTTCAGTTCTCCCTTTGCTGCCTTCCCTTTGACTCACTTCTTACTTGCCTGTGTACCCAGGAAGAGGAACATATTCAGTGCAGGCATCAAGGAGCTGTGCAGCGCTGATAATGTTGGGCAAAAGAGGAGCATGGGTGAGGAAGATCAGAGAAGTGATCCCAGCTACCCACAGCACATCAGAGTGTGCCCTCCTGACTCCTAAATCTTCAAGTCCCACTCAGTGTCTGCAAGAGACCCCAGCATGTTTCTGCATCCTACCGTCCTTCCTTTTCTTGTTGCTCAGATGGCCCAGAAAGCATCTATAAAGCTCCCCACTTTATCTGCTTTTTGTAAGAAGGTTGCACATTGCTGTTCCAGCTTTGGACATAAACCCCATTTGTCTGATGGGGAATCAGAGCTAATGGGTGTTAGCCAATTTAAGACTTCTGGAGTCTCCTGCTCACCAAGTGTGTGGTTGGGTTTATTCGCTCTCTCTTCCAGTAACCTTCTGCTGCCAGGAGGCAGCAAACAACCTTCATGTGGCATGGATATCACTGCCTGGAGCTTGCAGTCTCCAATGTGTTCCTGACTGCTGTCACCATCAACATGTGCTGATATGGCATTGTTTTCTTGAAGCAAAGCCAGAAACACACTTCCATTGCAGATGCTCAGAGCACCTACATGTGATAAGGGCCTCAGGAAGTAAGCACAGGAGCTCCAGGTGGTCTTCTTGTTTCTGTGTTTCATGACAAGAAAAAGAGACCTGAAATTAAGTGTGGAGGTGTCCTTTTCTGTAGAAAATCTTCAGGCAGGGAAGCAGCATTCACTACGCTGCTGTGCAGCATGGCTTAAAGCTCCTTTCTTTCCTTAAGGAAATACCAGAAGGGAGAAATTGGGTATAAACCTATGTGTGTATCCAGCCCTGACACAGCAGTGAATGTAAAGTCTCCAGAGTCAGGAGTGCTGCAGGGAAGAGCTTGTTTCCATCCTGGACTATGATACTGGAGCCAGCCCCAAATAGCCCCATTGTCTCTTCAGCCATGCTGCAGAGGAAGGGACTGGTGCATGGTTATGGCTGGAGGAGCAGGAACTCACTGCTTTTCTGGGGTTTCTCTTCAGTGGGCCTGTGCTAGTAGTGATGCACTCCCTTTGCCTCGCCTCTCTGTAACCATGTGGCAGCTACTGGCCTTATCTAGGGCTTCTTCTAGATTGAGCAAACCTCATTAGGCTTCTATGAGTTCGCTGTTTTTTTATGTCATATCATTTGTTTGCTAAGGTGATCAGCTCCAGGGCAGGCACGTTCTCTAGTGGAGTGGGGGACCACGGCATTCAGGAGGGGTTCCTTCATGAAAGCAACCCAGGGAGTGGAGGGAAGTGCCAGCACCCAGCAGCCCTCACAAAAGCAGCTGATGAGGGCTGGGCAGGGCCAGCAGCAGCAGCAGCCAACCCCAGGTACAAAGGCTGCCTCTGGGGAGCATGAGCACCCAGGGCAGGCAACCATGGTGCGGCACCTCAGCCAGGCATGGCCATTGGCACAGCAGTCTGCATGGGAGGACGCAGGATGGGTCATTTTTTATTCTGGAAGCAGCAGAGGAAGGGCCTTCTACTGCAGCAGAAACTGTGTCCACCCACTGAACCTGCCAGTCTGAGGCTGAAACCCAGATGGAGGGGCCGCAACCTCCTTGGGCAGATGCCTACACCCAAACAGAGGATCAAAAAGGGGATTGAGAGAGCTGCCTAGACCTTCAGTTACAGGGAACTCCAGTCTCTGGAAGTTCCACTATGTTCTGAAGGCATAGGTAGATGCCATAGGTGTAAGTGTGCCCAGCTGGATGAACTTTTCAAACAGATGGCTCTGTTACAATATGTGCACACCAGGCCATGTAGCATCCAGCAATCTGAGAAGGAGATTGACAGGCTTTATTATGTACTGACATAGTCTGATCAACAGCCCTGCCTTAAGTCTTGGTAGGAGGAAGGTAAACAAGCTTCCAGCCCTGAACCAACAAACTGGAATGACTTACAAGACAAAGGAGACTGGATCCTCACCTCTTCTTGGAGCAGGAGAAGTCTCCCCTTGCCCATGAAATGCCCCTGCACAACAGATACGATGCTCTAGGGCTGGAGAGAAGAGACTGTGAGTAACGGTAAAGACCTTGGAAAGGGCAACCATACAAAGTTGGCTCAGTCTATCACCTGCACAAAAAACAGTATCACAAAAAAGGCTCAAAGGTTTGGGATCTTGTAGGTAAAAGTTAAGGACCAATAAAGGGCACCTTGTGGTTGGGGTCTACTACTAGCCTTCTGATCAAGGGCAGCCTGTTGACAAGGCCTTCTTGTTTCAGCTACAAGAAGCATCGCATTCACATGCTCCCATATTAATGGGGAACTTCAACCACCTGGATGTCTTCTGGAAAAGCTAGACAGCAGGCTCTAAGCAATCCAGAAGACTCCTGGAGTGTGTTGAGAGTAACTTCCTGGTAATAGACAAACCAACCAGAAGAGAAGCATTACTGGACCTGGTGCTTACCAGTGCAGACAAAATCATTAAAGAGGTTAAGCTTGGAGGCAGTCTGGGCTGCAGTGACCATGCTCTGATTGAGTTTGTGATCTCAAGGAATATTGGCCTGGCAGAACAAAGTCAGGACCATGAACTTCTAAAGAGCAAACTTCAAGTAATTTAAAGACCCAGTGGACAAGAGCCCCTGAAACACTGTCCTTAGGGACAAAGGAGCTGAACACAGCTGGAAACTCTTTAAATATGTTTTTCTTAGAGCACAAGAATTCTCCATTCTCCTGTGTGAGAAAGCAAGCAGGGAGGGCAGAAAACCAGGATGGTTGTGCAAGGACCTGCTGCTCAAAATGAGGTGCAAGAAGGAAATGCAAAGGCATTGGCATGAAGCAGGGACATGTGGCATGGAAATAATACAGGAATGAAATCAGGAAAGCCAAGGCACAGAGGGAACTGAGCTTGGCAAGGGATACAAACAATAACATGAAGGGATTTTGTAGGTACACTGCCCAGAAAAGAAAGGCCAAATAGATCGTAACCCCTCTGATAAACAAGAAGGGTGAACTGCTAACAACAGACATGGAGAAGGCTGAGGTATTCAACAACTTCTTTGCCTCAGTCTTCACTGGCAGTCAGGCTTCTCATGTCTCTCTTTTCCCTGAACCTGTACGTGAGCGCTGAGGGAGCAAAGTCGCTCCCACTGTAAGTGAAGAGCAAGTTTGAGAACACCCGATGAAACTGAACAG